GCTCTGGCAATATGCAACTCTTGAATTCAGTTCTTCTTTGATTTTTTTTTTAATATCTTTAATCTCAATATAATTTAAAACCCAAAGACTTCATTTCCTAGTCTTGCAAATTTTCACAATCAGAAAAAATTACAATAGTTTTCATGTTTTCCCATTTCTGGCTCCTTACTATACCTGGCAGGATGGTTCTATACATAAATGCAAAGTGTTGTTTAAGCCATGGATGGCCGAAGTGGTTGATCTCGAAGTGCCTTTGAACAAGAAACATATACTGGAAGAGTGATCTAGTGGTGTAGCTGCCATAGGCGACTCCTTCATAGAGGGAGCCATCTGTCACCTCTCGGAGCAAGATCAAAGATTTCTCCATGATGGTCAGAACTTGTTTGGTCCATAAGTAGGCTTCTTGAAGATACCCTGAAGGATAAAAACACATGGAAACATTGACTAAAGATTGTAACAAAGCCAAAACAAAAACATGGCCAAACCCACTGACATCCAGTCAATTCCAACTCATGCTGACCCTGTGTGTTACAGAGAACTGAGCTCCATAGGGTTTTCTTGGCTGTAATTTTTCAGGGGCAGATCACCAGGCCTTTCTCCTGCAATTAATCCAGGTTTGTGATGGGTTCATAAGGTAAGTTAACAGGTTCCTGAATACAGGTCATTTACTAATTATATGAAGATAAACCTTTAAATGGGTATCAGTCATTTCACAATCTTTAATAAACTGAAACCACATCACATCTAAGATCACAATTTGCATATCATTTTATGTCTGCAAGAAAAGATTTGTATTTTGAGACTTAATTCAATTTTCTTAAAATAATGATACTTGAAAATACTTTATCACTTTACAAAACTTTCACTATTATTTCATAAAATTTGTAATAAGCTTCAAATACTATCAAAGCTAAATGGACAGTCTTCAATCTGCGTTTCTGCTAGAAGACAACCTCTCATCCTTGATGTGCTGTTAGATTCCACAGGATCTGAGAGTGGAAAGGCCACTGGAGTAGGAATCTAAGGGCAAAAAGTCTGGCACACGACTAAAAATGAACACTACTTTGACTCGAACTTAGGTCTTTGGATGTAAGATTTGTGTTGTTTTGCTTTTTATTTTTAAATCATACAACCTCTGGGGATAAAATTAATCTCACTGCTTCCAAATGTGGGTGGAGCCTTCCTGGCTCACTCCCACAAACCATATGCACCATTATCAGTGCTGAATGCTCTACCAAGGCCTACGGGGGTATGGGGGCTTCCACAGGCCCAGGTACCACCACCTCCTGGCCAAAATCCAAGGTCTCAGGCTAACACCTGGCTCCCATCTCACGGGGGCAGTGTGCTGTTCTCAGGATCAGCCGTGCAGAGATGACTGTTAATTGTCCCCTGGATCCTTCTACCAGCTCCACACCTGATTGTGCCAGCCTTCTGGCTACTTTTCAATTTCTATTCTCTAATCATTCAGGTTTAAAATTCCAATCATCTTCATCTTTTTTCTCTCATGTGTCCTCCATATCCAACTCTACAGTCACTGTTCCCTGTCTATCACGTGACCTGATTTTCCTTATCTATTCTTTCCAACAACTCTGTTCAGGAGATATGAGGCAATGTCTACCAACATATATTTTAAGCTATAAATCCTCCATTAATACAAGGTACTGATAGTATTGTTATTGATGCTATACCCTGTATTTTTTCACCAACCATACACCTTACCTGGAACGTTCTTTATTCTTCACCTACCCAAATTCTACCCATCCTTCAAAGTTCCGTGAACTTTCCCAAACTCACATACAAGAGTTTACTCTCCTGAATTAACACTTACTATACTTATTTGATATTTAACCAAGAGTTTCTTCATGATACCTCTTGTTTCATTCCATGGTACTATTATAACTATTGTGTGATTTAACATTTCACACTATCTTCTTTCCAACTGCTTCATAAACTCTTTACATGAGATCTTTGTGACTCCTGTGCACTAAATCTCACGGATGGCAGAACAGAGAGAGAGAATATTTTAATTCTTCCACATTTGAGATTTTATGTGAGTTCAATGGAAGCTACACGTGCATACTAAGCTACTTCAGTCAATACCTACAAGGCCTGGCCTTGGAGGATATGGATTTACTGACATAGCCTGGCTGGAATAGCTCCTGAAATTAGAGCAACTGTGCCAAGAAAGTCAAGACCATAGATTTCATCCCTCCTTCTGCTCAGTCTTTTTATAAATGTGTGTACTGCTTATTTGCAGGTCCTGTAAGAGTGTATATTTCAGAGCAACCCATCACTTTCATCAGAAAATAAATGCATATGAATACTCTTGCCTGGAAAGAACTATGTATTTTGATGCAATCCAAATCAGCATTTTAGGTGTCCACTTATTATCTGGAACAATTTCAGTTACCACAAAGAACAAAGCAGTGAGTTCTATTCCTGCTCTTAAAGAACTGAACATTTATTTAAGAAAATAAAACTGTACTAGGCTAATGCCCAAGGTCATGAGCTGAGACCTGGCTTGCTCTAAAGTTCTTTCCACCATTTCATGATGATGTCTTTTCATGGGTCTCAAGAATTATTAAATGGTTTGATGGTGGGTTTTTGCATTGGGTCTTAAATTTGTGTTTGATTTTATTTTGTTTTTGCTTTTGTGAGGGTAGGAGACAAAGGGAGCTAGGATGAAAAGTTACCCTCCTAATTATGCTTCCCTTAGATTACTTACTGTAAACTGAATTTCTATTCCTAGAGAGAGAACAAAGCAGAGTGGAAAGAGACTGAACTTTGAGGCTGGCTAGAATTGGGTCCAAATCCCAACTATTTTATATGGTTGTTGTGAGAATTAAATAAAATGCTTACTAATTTTTACTGTGAATTAAAAAGAAAAAACAATGCTGTTGAGTCGATTCCAACTCATAGCAACCCTACAGGACAGAGCAGAACTGCCCTGTAGGGTTTCCAAGGGGTGGCTGGTGGATTCGAACTGCCGACCTTTTGGTTAGCAGCCGAATGTTTAACTACTGTGCCACCAAGAGTTAACTTATTTCAGAATGCTAGCTCCAAGTATGTATTTAATATTCTATTAACTGTGATTTAATGGCTGCTTTTTAAAAATACAATCTATTCAGTCATTTACAGACTTCCATAGGAGTTGTGGTTAAGTCAGAATTATAAGAACAAAGACAATGAAATATTATCAACTGTTGCATTAAGGCAAAATAGCTGCACAATCCATAAAAGTCACCCACAATTTTGATGTAAATGCTCTACACATTGGTTGTTTTAAGTCTTTTTAGAGAAAGAGGAGTAGTAAGGTCCTAGGAACATTCACTTCAAATAATAAACCACCTATTTTGCTTTTAAAAATGCCATTCGGCTATCTTTGATGTCAAAATTCACTGAAAAGATGAATATTCACCACTGACCCTGTGCTGTAAAAACATGGCCTGGGACATTCATAAGCCATAAATAAACAGCCTTCAGGCTAATACAACTAACAGAATTTAGGAAAACAATGTCTCTCGATTAGCTAAGAGATGTTCTAGGCATTACTTCATATCCAGGCTTAGTTAAGATCCAAGTATGAACACGTTCCTGAGAACGCTTATAAAAGTGCACTGCTCACAACATGGCGACTATGACTGATGTCAGCTCGGGCATCCCCTTGCTGTGTCCAGACGCACCTTGATTCATCAGGACAAGGCTTCCTGTGAGCAAAGCCATGCAGTTGGTGGGCTGATGATTGTGCAGGTACTGAAATCCCCATCCTCTCCTGTATGAGGTTTCATACATATAGCCCGAGGCATTGGCAATCACTTCAAGAAACTTCTCCTGTTGCGTCTTGCTCAGGTAGTTGTACAAGAAGTCATAGGCAGTGGCAAAACCAACCAGGGAGTGAGCAAGCGGGACTTCATCCCAAGGAGCATCTTTTACTAACCTGTAAAGGGAAATAATGTAAATGAATGAACAGGCCTCACAGCTTTCATCACACACTTGAAGGGTCTATTTCTCAGAATTTAAGGACACCACTGAAGATATAATCCAAGAGATTTAACAACACAGGATTGACTTCACTCCACATAAGACACAAGCATAAAGTTTGTCTAATGTGAAAATTACAGAGTTAACACTTTACTCTCAAGAGTTCTGGCAATAGCAAGATGTTGAGAATTTTTATTTTTAACTCCTGAAGAATTTTTATTTTTAACTCCTGATGAAAGACAGTAGAGTATGTTCAAAGAAATCTAAAGCACAGAACATGTAGCAGCGGGGCAAAATTCTCTTAAGTTCCTATTCAACTCTTGCTTACCCCTCCATCTTTAGCTGCCTGGGAGGTTCTCAGTTTTATGCTATGGTTGCCTTGCTAAAATATTCGGACACATACATTCTATCTTATTTCTCATAGGCTGGTCAAGGAGAAGGGGTCATGGTATATAGTTTTATAACTTCTCAATCTGGACAGACCTACTTGGTCTGCACCATGATGTGGGGCTGGATAACAGGCTGGCATAAGTAAGTGAGATGAGTGTATTCTAACTCAGAATTTCTGTGTCTCATTCTTTCCCATAAAATGAACTGTACTGCCTTAAAGTTCTTAAAATATCTTTCAGAGAAGTCTAAATGCTGATCTTCTGTGAAGTATTAAATTATCATTTTCTAGGAAGCAAAATTTCAGCTTGATTTGCTACTTTATTCTGCAAGTATTTTAATGGTGTGTTGTCTGCGTTAAACAGGACACTAAAAAGGAGATTCCACAATCAAAACTCTATATAGAATGATCCAGAAAACCCTACCGCTCTGCACAGGATGTATCTGAGTACTCTTTGAGGTAAACAAAGGAAGAGTGCACTGTATCTGTGGGAGGTGGAAGAAAGTCTTCAGTTAGGGATTAAACGAAAGTTTAACATTTTCATGCCATGAAACTCTTTTGGCAATCTAGTGAAGCCTTGGCCCTTTCTCAAAATGTTTTAAAATTCAAAACAACAATATGTAGAAATACAAGGAAACTGATTATTTTGAAATGTAATTATCAATACATATATTTTTTAAAAAATTGTGATACATGTGCTTCTTTATTAAGGCATTAATTAACAAGATTTAGTAGCAGGGAGAGTAACTACCAGAATTTATAAGTAGTGATGAGCATAAATAATATTTTGAGATTTCTATAACTGTATGATATGCAAATAGCTGTGATGTCTATTTGTGACCAAGTTTCAGGTTCTACCAACATTATTATACTATTATATCCATGATTGGAAGAAATGCTAAATTTCAGTTCGCATTAGTGTAAATCAAGATGTAACATTTCCCCATACAAACCTATGGACCCAGGGGTTTGTGGAACCCAGGTTAAGAATCCTTAAAAACGTTCTATGAGACTACCTTTTCTAGAAATGTATTCTTCCTTTAGAAGTTTATATTCAAGAAGTGATCTTGGTGGGGCCTCTCCTGGTCAACTTGTCAGAATTTCAATATTACCCCCAACCAACAATATTTCATTCCCCTTCCTCACTTTTTTGGTCCCCTTAGTTATATGTTGACATTTGCAATGATGGTACAAAAGCAATAGTGGGTAAAAATGCTGGCACCTTAGCAAGAATCCAGGCAAGGGCACCAAACGGGACTAGCAGTCCTTGTATTCTACACCACCATGCACTCTCAATTAAAAAAAAGGCAATT